CCTCATGGTGATTCACTAATAAAAAATAAAAATAATAATAATTAAAAAAAGAATCCTGACTAAGTTTCCTTCTCTTTTACATATTATTTATGTATGTATGTGTTCTAAGAATATGAAGATACACACACATACACACATATATAATTTTATTAAGGCACCATGATTTACAAAGTTATTTATATTTGGAATTTAAATTTCCTATGTTCCAGCACCAGTCCCACCACCAGTGTCTTTTTTCATCCATCAAGGTTCCCAGGTCCTCTAGTCCCCCTTTCCAATCCCCAGCTTGCCATCTTGACAGGTTCATTTTTACTTTAGTTGTTTAAACTTGACTCTCTTGTTTTCAGTGTTGCTGACTCTGATTTGAATATTTCACTGTATCATTCCTTTATACCATCCTGTACTTGGATTTCCTTGACCCCTACGCCCCATTGTTTCCTGTCTATTTCTTCATTCCTTTTTCACCTAGGAAAATATTTTAATGCACTTATTAGGCTTTTAAAAATATTTTTTACTAAAACACAAAGCCAAAAAATACCAAAGTTGAAGTTACTGTGCAATTAGGTTAATGTGTATACTTAAGATTTGCTTTGTCCAAACTGGATATCTTTCTTCAAAACTATTATTGTTAAAAAGTCCAGTGATATAGTATAAGGGTTTAGATGTTTGTCTTACATGCAACTGACTGTGGTTGGCATCTTGACATCATATATGGTCCCCCAACCTCTTAGGACTAACCTTGTACAAAGATCCAGGTGTAGGTCCTGAGAACAACCTGGTTTGATGCCCCCTCCCAAATTAGTATTAGAAATGTATTTCCTTATGATACAACATCCTGGATGATGGGCTGGAGCGATAGCACAGCGGTAGGGTGTTTGCCTTGCACGCAGCCAACATGGCCGACCCGAGTTCGATTACTCCGCCCCTCTCGGAGAGCCCGGCAAGCTACCGAGAGTATCTTACCCACACAGCAGAGCCTGGCAAGCTCCCCGTGACGTATTCGATATGCCAGACACAGTAACAACAAAGTCTCCAATGGAGACGTTACTGGGCCCACTCGAGCAAATCGATGATCAACGGGAGGGCCTTTACTTTTTACTTTTGCTTTACAACATCCTAAAATATACATAGCCATGTGAAAAAGTATATTCCTTCTATCTTAAAATTAAATCTGTGTAGTCTTATTATTTAAAAAATATTCCCTTTTGTTCACTTTTTTTTTTCTTTTTTAGATTAGTCACAGATTTTGCAGGTTTTTAAAATCTAAAGTGAGTGGGATGTGGCTTGGGGTTAGAGTACTTGCCTCACATACTATGGGCCATGAATTTAAACCCTGGTGTTGCCCCTTGTACTGAGTGAGATTTCTGACAGTGACAGTGTGGCCCCTAATCACACATCAGTGAGAACAAAGAAAAAGTAAGGAAGGAAAACCATAAGTGAACATGAACATTGAAAAAAAAAAACTAAGCTGGATGGTGGGACAGATAGCTCAAAGACCTGGCTTTGCATGTTGGATTCTAGGGTTTGTATGGCTCCTTAAGTACTGCTGGGAACAACCTCCAACTCTCTAGCATGGAACCAGTAGTAGTACCTGAACATCATTGGATATCACTCCCCAACAAAAATGAAAGCCCAACCAAATAAGCAAAAGACCCAAATCCTACGCAGAAGTGAATGTTACGATTATTTTGAGGAAAAAAATTTAAGTACTAGATATTTTTTTAATAGTGGGACAAGTTTGGATTCTTTTGACATCATTTAGTATTAGCATAGTTAAAATCATTGCTTTTGGTTTTCCTTTTTCTTTATTCCAAATTACAATAGTTAATTTGTGAATTGGCATTCAACATAAAATATTCTATCCAAAAGTACTCTTTGGAGGGTTATATTTTCAACCTTTTTACTGAAGTTGTTATAGCATCCAATTAATTATGCTTCATGTAGTATGAATTACATTTTCATTTTATTCTTTAGTGTAATTTGTAATGCAAGGTCATTTTACTTATATCCCACTTTATGCTTTAACAAGAGGAACATGTACTGCTTTTTATCAATTCTCATTTTTTTTTTACTATATGCGTAGTCTTAACATGGCTAAAACAAATGGTAACTACATATAGCTAAGCTTATTTTAGATTTTGGATAGTTTTGGAAAGGATTCATTCTGAACCTTTCTGTAAGGTAAATAGAGATAATGGCACTTTTGTTTTTGCCATCACCTTTATCATAATCATTATCATTATGATACTTTGTAATCATTATTATAATCATCAAACAGAATATTTCCTCATACTCCAGAGAGTCACATCTGGCTTAAGTTATTTTTTTTTATTTACTGTACACATTCATCTTAATGGCTCCAAGAAAAGCCAGAAATTTTAGAAAAAAAATTTCTCTTTTCAAGTCATTATTTGAGTGATGGATGCAAAAACTTGATAATTTTTAATTCTCAGAGCATGTATACACCATCAGAATCAGAATTTATGATTCAATTTCATCCATTCTGTCTGCATTTTTTAAAATAATGTTTGTATCATGTATTTCTTCCCATGATTGATTCCGAAAGATATTTTGTTTTTAGTCCTTAAGTAAAAATTTGCAATATGATCCACTCAAGAAATAATTGTGTTAGAAATTCAGGGTTTGGGTTTGGGTAGCTGTGATCATAGTACTCCTGGATCTGTCTCCTTCTCTCTTCAGTGGGAGTGAATAAAACTCTTCAGATGCTCTTTTTGCAAAAGTTGTAAACCTCAGTTGATAACATGCATGCGAAAATACTTTCAAATCCTACAGAATAAAATATTTTAACCACCCACCATCACAAAAAGAACCAGACATAATTTGTTAACTAATAAGTTGAGTTTCTTTTTCAGGAAAAGGTTGGCACCATGGCATGAATAAATAGTAGAAGGGAAAATTTCTTTGGTCTAAAGTGGAACAATTACACTTCAGAGCTGGTATCATGGGGATAATTTGGTATTGTGTTAGAAGAGCTTCAGAGAAGTACTGGAAATGCTCACAAGATAGTATGTCTCATCCACCTTATTTGTCTACAAAATAAATATAAAAGATAGGACACATCCTTTGAACTTAGAGACTTCTCGGGAACAAATGAAATAAAGTATGTGCTAGTATAGTATGCACTGCAAGATATTCTACTGTAGTCAATAATTAGTACTTAGTGATGAAATAAGAACATATGAAGCTTAAGAATATTTAAATACATGCACAATGACTTTAGAGTTTGAAGAGATGTCTGTGTAATTTTGAATGGAACCAGAGACATTTTCTAGAAAAGAAATGTTGACCGAGTTTCATTTCAGATGATAAGACTGAAAATGGGGCTGTTTTGTTCACTAGAATAAGCCTGATGTACTCCTCTGCTGGGAGAAATTGGGCAATTCAAGTGTTCTTCAGATAATCTGAGTCCACAACTATATTATATAAAGCTGATTTCAGAGGGCCCAAATCACATGATTATTTTGTAAATGAAAAAAATCTCAGGACATTTATTACAGAGGAGAGGAATTTTTGAAGTAGCTCACAAACCAGAAAACAGAACAAAGGAATATGACATGCCTTGTGCAAGTTATCAGGGGCTGGAAGGTGACGGCCAACTCAAAACCAAGCATCCATGTGGTCCATGTGGTCTGAGGCACCATATGGATGCTGGAGCAGCTTCTAATATGGTACAGAGTTGAATCACTGGTTGGATCACTGGTTGGGAGGGTAGGAAGAGGAAAGAGGTGTTAGTAAGATCTGAGTGAATTAGGTTAGGGGGACGCCTCAGGTCTAATGCAGGAAGAATTGATCTCACACCCATGGGTTGTGATGGAGCACAGTGTTAATCCCCTCCCGACCTAACCCCCTTGCCCTCCTTGGACGCGTCTGAAGCTTTTGCTTGCAGACCTGGGGCACTGGACGGCTGTTTCTCGGATCAGCACCCCAGAGAAGGACAGCTCCCTCTGGGGTGAAGCACTTTACAAATCTATCTCTGCCCCGCCCGAAATCAGCAGCTGGTCCCCCGGGACAGAGGCTCTACCCACCCGCTATCTTCTCCGACCCCAAGAGGGTTTAGCTCGCACCTCTCTCACCACATCGCTCAAGGACCTCAAGGAGGGTCCGAGTCCACTCGCAAGAAAGTGGCTTAGGGCCTGAACTAGGTCAACTCTTCCAAAGTGAACTGCCTCCGCGATTGAAGCTCTGCTTTCCTCCGCACTACCTCGACTCCCCACTTCTTACCTCTTCCCTTCCTCGAGAGCTGGGGTGGGGGCAGATGTCGCACCCCGCCCGCCTGGATGGGATTGGGGTTCTGTAACCCTGGAGGAGGTTTTTTATGGTGGGGGCGGGGAGGACAGCGGTGGGTCCGGACGGGAGTTCTTATTGGCCTCGGACACAGGTGCTGGCCGCGGGGGGTCCCTCAGAACCCACCCCACCCCCGGCCCCTCCTCTCACATAGCGTCCTGCAGCCGGGAAGGGAACTTCGGGGACCCGGAGCAGGTTAAGGGGAGGCACTATGAGGACTGCACCGCACCCCGGCTGCCTGGTTACCCCCTCCCTGGCCCTAGATGACTCCGGGCTCTGGCCAGCAGCGCCCCGCAGCGCCCCGCACCACCGCCGCCGCCGCCGCCTTCTCCAGCAGGGGCGGCCGGACCCGGGCGCCACCACTGGTGGGATCGGAACCCGCGGCTCGGATGGGACAGCGGGGGGAGGGGTGGAGGGAGGAGGGTGTGTACGGGGTGGGTGATAGGGGTGGAAAGCGGGAGGTCAGCGCTGGGCGGGCGCTTGGGGGACCCCACGCCGCCCCCTCCAGGTCTAGGCGCCGCACAGCATCCTCAGTCCGCCTCCAGCGCCGTCCCCGCGGCTCGGGCGGCGCGAGCGCGAGCGCCAGAGGCTCACGGAGCGGCGCGGCCCCGAGCCCACCGCCGCCGCCTGGCACATGCCTTCGCGGCAACAAAGAGGCGGCTGAACCGAGCGCGGTGGTCCGAGCTCGCCGGGAAGCCGCGGCGCCCGCTCGCGGAGCGGGGCGGCAGCCGGAGGACGCACGCGGGGCGTTTGGGGACCCCGAAAGGGGGCGGAAGATGGCCAAGAAGAGAAAGCCCCGAGGCCGCCAGGGTGAGTCTCGCGCCCTCTCCTCCCTCGGCCCTCAGCCCGGCCCCTCCCGCCGGCCCGCCGGCCTGTGCATGTCCAGACTCCGCCAAGTGCGCGGCTGCCTGCCCGGGAAGAGTTTGCCTTCACCGGGAGGCGCTGCTGGGGACTTGAGCTCTGCTCCATCTCCCTGTGCCTACGGGGAGACTCTCTGTCTGGAGTTTGTCCCTCGTTTAGGAGCCTGTAAGACACCGGAGATGCTTTTTGCTCTCACCTTTCCTCGTCCAGAAGCCGGGGTGTCTGTTCACCTCCCCTTAGAATAGTGTGTATACCTCCCCTTAGAATTGTGTGTGTGTGTGTGTGTGTGTGTGTGTGTGTGTTTGGCAGAAGAAGCCGCTCTCGGCTGGTTGCTAAAGGCCCATCCTTTTAGGACCCCCCCCCCCGCCCCCGGCCCCCATCCAGCGTTACCTTACTCCTCTCCCCTCCTTCATTTCTAGGGCGACAAGTTCTGCATCTGTTTTTCTCACCCTCCATCCTTAAAGAGGTGACATCCATCCACCCACCCCCCTCCCCAGTTCCCTCTCACCCCAGGGTCCAGGGAACTGGCTCCCCTCCGGGTCCTGCCCGGCACCGCTCCCTGCCCCAGAGCTCTGGCTGGCTGCAACTCTGGCTGAGCAGTTCCCCCTGTTGCGGCTTTGGATGGAACCTGAATCTTTCCAAATTGGAAAGTTCAGGAGATGCAGTAGCTGGAAGGGATACGGGACAGAGAGCTCATAGTTGGGGGTGACTTGAGGCTCCGCCGCGCGGTCTGGGGGCTGGACGCTGAAGGGAGCCTCGGTGCGAGGTCGCAGTGGTCCCGGCTACCCCTGCGCTTGGCACTCTCGCCAGGAAAGGACCCGCGGCCGCGGGAAGGGGGAGCCGGTCGACAGCAGCGCGGTGTGGGGCGTCAGGGCTCGGAACCGGGCCCGGTGGAGAGGGGAGGAGTGTGGGGTGGGGGACATCCGAAGTTGGTTTGCAGCTTTGGGGGTCCGAGATCTCGGGAAGCAGAGAATTCGTGCCTTCTCGGGGTTATGTAAATAGCCCCCCCCCCAGCCGTTGTTTCACTGATTTTCTCGACCCGGACCCCCCCCCCCCCCCGCCCATTCTAATCCCCCCCACGCCGGACACGCCGCCTCCGCGCCCCCACCGCCAGCCCGCAACATCCTGGTGTCTGGCTTATCCGAGGAGCTTAGCTCTACTCTAAAGGTCACCAGGGGGACACAACTTTATCTTGGTGCTTCAGCTTGCTGTTTGTTTCTGAATACGCAAATCAGTTAGTAGAAATGGTTTAGGATCTTAATCCTTAACCACAGACACCTGAGTCTTTGGTTTGAAACTCTGGTATAGTATGAGGATTTTATTGCAGTATATTTCTTTAAAAAAAAATCACAGCGCCTGTCAAATAGAAGAGCCCTCCCACCTCTCTCTTTACCTCTCTCACTGTTCATGTTTATAGTGGTAGAGAAAAAAATAAGAGGATGTATATATCTATAGTACTCTTTCCAAGGTAGCAAAGAATTAGTTGAAACCCAGACTGACAAATTGCATTAGCAGCACTTTTGGTTCGTTCCGTTTTTGTGGAACCATATGGCATGATGAGCAAAAGGAGGGATTGGTTTTCAGCGGTGCTGATGTGACTATCCATTGGCAGAATACATTTCACACCCACCCCAAACCTTGCAGAATGTACATGGTCCATGAATTGTTAAAATACTGTAGTTTTACAGTATTTATCCAAGCTGGAGACAGTCTTACCATTGAAGTTAATCTTGGCAGAAGCACCAAAAGATATGAGATTAAGATAATAAAAACCAAACCAATGTAAGAGATTTGATGAAAAAGACATCTCTTTATTTGTTCCTCAAAACACCAAGAAGTTTTGTATGCCAACATAGAAATGTGTGTATTCTCTTAAATTTTATTAGATAGTGAAATAATTGAAGAAAAGCAGTTACTAGAATTTTATCATTCAATTATTAAAGTTCCTGTGGAAGACTTAATCAAACTTTCCTAGGACAAGTGATCTCAAAAAATCTTACCCTGTCTCTGTTAGTTACTTTGGGTGCCTACCACTGACTGTAGGGCATCAAGCATAGGCATATACTCTGCCACTCTGCTTTATCCTGAGACCTATAATTTTTTGAAAATAAGGTTCAGATGGTAGAACTGATAGAGCCAGAGGATGAAGGTGTAGGGGGACAAAGAATGAAGGGAGAGCAGGGACATTCCTAGAATGGGGTTTTGGCACTTTGGTGATTTGGCATTTTGACAGCTTTTAAAGAGGCGTGAAAAAGCACTTCCAAATAAATAGTAAATCAGTGGTGCCTCTATGAAAATTTTTTTACCTAATATTGCATTTTTAAAGGAAAAGTAACTATATTCAGCTCTTATTGACCACTCTCTGTCTTTCTCTCTTGTTCAATTTGAGTTTCCATTTTTCTATATTTGTATATGTGCTCAGAGCTTACTCCTGGCTCTGTGCTTAGGGATCAGTCGTGGTGGGACTTGGGGGACCATATATGGTGCTGGGGATTGAACCTGGGTTGACAGCATGCAAGGCAAGTGCACTATCCACTGCACTGTCACTCAGGCCCCAAAGTTCCTTTTTATGTTGTTTTTTTTTCTTTTTGGGTAATACCTGGAGATGCACAGGTGTTTCTCCTGGCTCTGCACTCAAAAGTTACTCCTGGAAGTGCTCATGGGACCATACGGGATGTTGGGAATTTAGCCTGGGTCGGCCGCGTGCAAGGCAAAAGCCCTACCCGCTGTGCTATCTTTCCAGCTCCTCCAAATTCCCATTTTAACTGTCTAATTTAATATTTCTCAGAAGAAATGCTACAATTTTTAATTTTCACAGCTTCACTTTAGCAAATCAGAATTCATTTGTGGTATTTATAGACACAAAACCAAACCCAGCAAGTTATAATCCATTGGCTCAATTTTACCTTTTAAGAAGACTCTACAAATGCATCTGACTCCATGAACAGCTCTCAGACATCTGCTTCTAAGCTCTAGCAGACTGAACTGGGCTTCCTGGTAGAAAGCCAGATTGTTAAATGTCTAGGTTTTTCTTGTGGGGGGCAGGTCTTCTGGGGTGAACTTTGCTGGATAATAAGCTGCAGGCTTAGCAGTGTTCCATGCTGTGTTAGTTATCCTCTTAGGAGGGCTGCTTCTCTGCTTAGCTACACTGCATGAAAAGAGAGATCATTTGTTGGCACATATGACAGGCAAGTTGCTCATTGGCTCCTCAGTTCCTAGCAGTAGAGACTACATATCTAAAATGGCTAGACATTTGCCAATGTTATAGTATAGTATCCTAACGTGGTCAGAAGAATAAGATGAGTTATGAGTTTTTCTCAAGGGATAATGTTATTTATTTGTAACACAAAAAACACATCCTCAAAAAGGCAAACAGGATATCAGCTCAATATTTATAATGTTTAAGAAAAAATGCTATAATTCATGATTTTAAAATGTCGTATAAATACAAGTTATCACTATTAGTTGTATAGTAATTCCACCCCCCCATTTAAAAAAATGTGGATAAGTTGGACTGAAGAGATAGTACAGTGAGCAGGGTGCTTGTATTGCATATAGCTGACCTGGGTTTGATGTCCAGCAACCCATCTGGTCCCTCCAAGCCCACCAGGAGTGATCCCTGAACGCAGAGCCTAGAGTAAACCCCGAGCATCACCAGATATGCCCCCAAGACAGGATAATTTGTTTTATTTTCTAATAAATATTTTCTCACAAATCACAAATCACAAATCATCCTGTTATTCGTCGATTGCCTCGAGCAGGCCCCAGTAACGTCTCCTTCATCCTAGCCCTGAGATTATATTCAAGGCTCTTTAGGAGAATGAGACCCATCATTGTTACTGGTATTTGGCATATTGGGTACGCCACGGGGAGTTTGCCAGACTCTGCTGTGTGGGCAGGCTACATTCGGTAACCTGCCAGTTTGTCCAAAGTAGGAATGAGATAATAAGATGTCATAATAAGATGTTGCAAGGCCGCGAATGCGGCCGTGCGGTTCCGGGAGCTGGTTTTTATAGTCTCTGAGTCTTGGCTGTTGATGGGATTACACGGCGCCAAGGGGCCAGTTGGTGGGTGTGACCCCCGCCTACTGGAATATTTTCTAATAAATATTTTCTAATAAAAAGAATATGTTTTTACTGAATTATTTTAAGTTTAAAGGGTAAGTTGTGCTTGTACTTATCTATTCATGAATTATACATATGTTTATTGAGCATTGAATAGACTAGGTCCTGCAGGATTGAAAAACATAGATTCTCAAAGTATATAGAAGGCATCTGGAAGGAGGTTATAGATCATGATCAGGAAATTTTCAAAGTGTCTGACATTATGGAGTTTATTATAGGATAACCTGAAAAGGTGATACTTGATGAAAAGTAATTTTTATGGTAAGAACCGGAACAGAACTACAGGCCTTGAGGCAGAAATGAGGTGGCAGCTTGGAATCTTCAAATAGATATGGAAGGCTGGTTTGAAGTGTAATGCAGAAGTTAGAGACAAGTTAGAGACAAGTGGGAGGAGACCAGATCTTTTGAGTCTCAATTAGGAAGAGGGGTGTTGATTTTTAAAGAATAGCACATTGCTGCTCATTAGATGTTTATTTTAGACTAGATGGGGTTAGATTGCATTAGGTGTTCCATCTTATCCTTGGGATGATTTCAAGGAGGGCAGCCCTCCTGCATCAGCCCCTGAGATCAACTAAAGCTACCCATGAACTGCACTTTCCTAAAAGGTCCAGATTATGTTTAAGTATCTCTTACTAAGTCAGCATGAAGACTTGAACTGTTGACAGAATTTCTGGGACTTGCTGCTGAAAAAACACCACTTAGAGAGAACAAGGATAAAACCAAAATTTTAATAAAAGATTGTTAGGTTAGTCACCCACCTAGGAGGACTTTTTGAGCAAATAATTCTTAGAAAAGCATATTGTTAGAAAGGATGCTCGAGGGTCT